ATGAATGGATAAACAATGTGAGGGATACACATGCAGTGAAACACCAGTCTGCTTTTAAAAGGAAGGAAATTCTGATACATGGTACCATGTTAATGAAACTTAAAGACACATAGTTAAGTGAAATAATGATGTGTTTATGATAGTCACAAAAAGACAAATACTGTATGATTCTACTTATACAAGGGACCTAGAGTAGTAAAAGTTAGAGACAGAAAGTGAAAGGTGGTTGTCAGGGGAGAGGGTAGCAGGAGAGAGGATAGCAGAGCAAAGAGAGTTATTGTTTAAAGGGTACAGAGTTTCAGATTGGAATGATGTGAAAAAGTTCTAGATATGGACTATGGATGATGGAGATGGTTGCACAACAATGCAAATATTCTTAATATTCTTAATGCCACAGAACAGTACACTTAAAGATAATTAAAATGGTAGACAATATGTATATTTCACCACAATTTTAAAAATTAAAAAGAAAAAGTAGATCCAAGTGTGGCCACAAAATGTGAATGCCTCAGGAGGAGGACAGCCCAGAGAAGCAGGCTGTGTATTTCACGGGCTCTAGAAAAGCCCAGACACAACTACCAGAAGTGAAGGTTGGGGTTGAACACAGAAGGAATGGATTAAAGTCAAGGTCATTGCACCCTAGCCCACTGGTGGAGCTTCCCATATTCTGGATTTTGCAGATGGCTTTTCTTGATAGTGACTATCAGAGAGATAGTCCTCTCTGCCTGAGGTTGAGGGCTCTTCTGGGACATGGGACTTTTCAGCATTTAAACCAGGGACAATTGGTCATATTAAATTTAATGTGCTTCTTTGTCCTGTATATTTCCTTTAAATTAAGAGATGGATTTAAGGCTGATCAGATTTAGATTTGTTTTTATGGCAAGTCTATTTCATAGGTGGCACTGAGTTCTTTTATCAGAAGAAACATTGTTTGGTTGTGTCTTTTTTGAATGTGAGTGGTCACTGATGTTCAACACCTAAATTCACAAATTTTATAATATTGCTATATTGTAATTCTATTATTTTATGTTTATTTATTAGGTAAAGCATTTCTATGAAGAGAAACTTCTCCCATCAATTAGTTGGTGCTGTTTTTTTATTTACCACTTTTCAAAATAAGTTGATTCCCCAATATTCTCCAATGTTGACTAATGAGATTTTTTTAGGCTTCTGAGCACGTGATTTTAAAAGTATTTGATATGTTTTAATATGTTGCAGTTACTTTCCTTCTGAGGCTCAATTTGTCCTATCTTTGGCTATAAGAGCCTTTTAAAGTAGACTCTTGAGTCCTTTTGACATGATACCATTAGTCACTCATAATTTTCCCTGCTGTCTGTATGACTATTTATTCCAGCCAGGACTGAGCCATTTCTCTAAGTAACCCTGGTTGCTTTTAATGGGAAATGATATTATAAGACTACAATCTGGCTGCTAGGGATACTTATTGCTACTGGACTGGTCATTATTTCTAGACCTTTACAGTAGACAGGGCTAGGATTAAAAAATAAAATAAAATACAGGATGAATTTAAAATGATACTTTCAGTTCAAACTCAGGACAGAGCTTTTACTAAATATTTTCTATCTTGTCCTTTATCCAATGCTGATAATCCTGATTTCAATAGTACTGAGGATGACAGAATTAGAATTTCACATGATTACTCATTTGCTTTACCCCACAATGCATATACTATGGTCTTAGAATAAAAATATCAATTTCTACAGACAATATTATTAATGAAAACAGTTTAAACATATTACGTAGTCATTTTATCTTTGGACTATAACCCACTAGAGTTGTATAGTCAAATTATTGTATTTAAAAGTCATTTGGAATAGGTCTCTCTTAATTACATTTTTTAATACAGAATATTAAATAAGAAATGACAACTTAAGTTCACCATTTTTTAAAAAAACTTTCAGAATGGAACAAACAACCAAAACAAAAAACAGAGATATCCACATTTGTAAAAAGCAATAGAAGAGTGTGAAGATAAAACTAAGAAAATGTTTCAGAAACTGAGAAACAACAACAAACCCCAAAAGATATAAAAAAGGAGTGAAAAGAAAAAGGATCAATTTGGGAGATTCACTTGATAGGAATTCCAGAGAAATCAGAGAAAATAAAAAGCAGAGAATTATTAGAGAAATTTCCAGAACCAAATGATATGTTTCTAGGTCAAGAGGTCTCATCAAAATACCCAGAAGAATGAAAAAGAAACCCTAAATCATGGTAAAATTTTATTACTTCAGGGATAAAGAGAAGACTCTAGAAAGACTCTTGAAGAGAAGACAAATAGGTCCCTAAAAAATGTGCAATCAGAATGTATTAGACTGTTTAATAGTTACACTTGAAGCTAAAAGACTATGGAATAATGCCTTCCAAATCCTGAGGAAAAATTAGTTCCAAGTATTACTTTATACCTTTCAAATTATAAACAAATGTAAGGGTAGAATAAGGATGTTATTAGACATAACTCATATATGTATCCTTTATCTACTCCTTCTCAGAGAAATATCAGAAGATGTGTTTTAGAAAAATTAAGGAATAAACCAAGGATAAGTAAAACAGGAGTTGAAGATACAGGAAATTCAACACAGGGAAGAGAAAAAGGAAAGTCCTAGATCCACCAAACTAGATTAAAAGCAGTAGAATCAAGGACTTAGGGAGGGAGATACCAAAGGAAAACATATTTAACTGATAGATTATCAGATATACTTAAATATTTACATAATTATATTCACAGACATTTACCATATTTGTTAAGCATACCTATTGGATAACTTGGAAAACAGATGATTTGAAAAATAGTTACATAAATAAATTTAAAATGAGACAAGTATTAACTGTAGAAAAAATGTTAAATGTTGTATTCCAAGGGAAACATAATAATGGCATACTACTTGGCTCAACAGCAAATATATGTATATAATAATGTAAACACTAACTTGCTTTTGAAATTTTATTTTAAAGACTATTTTTAAGAGAAATTTTAGGTTCACAACAAAATCAAGAGGAAGATAAAAGGTTTCTTATATATCCCACACTTGTACATATGCATAGCCTCCCTGTTATCAACATCACTCACCAGTATAGTATGTTTTTTTTTTTTTTTAACAAGGATGAACCTATGCTGACACATTATCAAAGTCCAAAGTTTACCTTAAAATTCACCCTTAGTGTCGTATGTTCTAGGAATTTAGACAAAAGTATAATGTCATACATCCATCATTATAATGTACAGAGTATTTTCACTGCCCTAAAAATTCTCTGTGCTCTACCTATTCATTTCCCCCCTTCACAACCCCACTTCTGACAACTACTGACCTTTTAACTCCATAGTTTTGCCTTTTCAGAACGTCATATAGTTGGAGTCATACAGTATGTAGCCTTTCCAGATTGGCTTCTTCCATCCACTAACATGCATTTAAGTTTCTTCCATGTCTTCATATCTCATTTCTTTTTTAGTTCTGGATAATACTTCATCAGGAAGTACCACTGTTTACTTATCCATTCATATACTGAAGGACATCTTGGCTGCTTTTCAAGTTTGGGCAATTATAAGTAAAAACCCTATCAACATCTGTGTGCAGGTTTTTGTGTGGACAACTCCTTTAGCCAAACTGTGGCATTTTGCATTCCCACCAGCATTGAATGAGACTTGTGGTTGTTCCACATCCTCGCCAGCATTTAGTGTTGCCAATGTTCCATATTTTGCCCATTCTAAGAGGTGTGTTGTGCTATCTCATTGTTGTTTTAATAAACACTATTTTGGAATAATTTTAGATTTACAGAAAAGTTGCAAATATAGTACAGAGAGTTCCTGTGCACCTTTCACCCTGCTTCCCCCATGTTAAGACTTTATATAACCATGAACTTCATCACTACTGTGTTAAACTCTTTTGCATTTTACTACTTTTTCCACTGATGTTTTGTTGTTGTTGTTCCAGAATCCCGTATGGGATTCCACACTGCATTTAGAAATACTGATTTCTGGGACACCTGGGTGGCTCAGTTGGTTAAGCATCTGACTTCAGCTCAGGTCATGATCTCACTGCTCAGGAGTTTGAGCCACATGTTAGGCTCTGTGCTGAGAGCCTTTTTTTTTTTTTTTTTTGCCACTCAAATTTTTATTTATTTGAGGATCCAGGTGTGGCCCAGATCTCACAGGCAGCAGCACAGAGACACCCACTTCTAGTTTACTTGGAAGTGGGTCTCCTCTTGACCGTCCTAGGGCTTCCCCTCTCCCAGCCCTGGAGACAAGACTGAGGTCAGGAAAGCTACATGGGCGCACGGAGAAGAGGACCCCGCTCTCTTTACTTGGGCCATGTGGGTGCTGACCAGCCCTGGAGAGCAGACTACCCTATCCCCCAGTTAAAACGGGACCTCTGGCAACAAGGGGACCACACGGAGGGCCTGAGCCTCAGGGCCAGATCTCCAGGCTCTGTGTAGAGGCTCAGGAATGGAATGTAGAACTCTGAGAGAACAATCTAGAATTCTAAGAACAGAATGTAGCATCCCAGGAATGTAATCTGAAATTCTAGCAACACCTCTGAAAGCTGAATGCTGAGAGTGTTACTGAGTATTCTACAGGCAGGCTCGACTTCCGGGACCTGACTTTACAAATCAGAGATGGGGGGGCGGGTATCTGGTAGTCGGGGCAGACTCTCTGGTTTTAGAGCCTGAGTCCCTGGGGACAGAGCCTGAACCTCTGAGAGTGAAGCCAGGGACTCTGAGGGCAGTGTGAGGTGCTCAGAGGGTGGGGTCCTGCCTTCCGAAGGCTGAGTCATGCCCTCAGGGAGCTGCTTCCCTGCCTCAAGGGGCGGGACCAGGATGTCAGGAGGAGGGGTCATGGATTGCACCGCGGGCGGGACCAACACATGGGGGTGGGGTCACGGACTGCAGAGCTGCGTGACTGAGGAGGCAAGCGGAGTCCCCGGCCTTGTAGAAGCATGCGAAGGTCTCTGAGGGAGTGGACTGGGTGTGCGGGGTGAATCCAGCCGCCTACAGCTACGTAGGCAGAACGAAGAAGAGGATCGCAGATTACAGTTGCTCCTTCAAAGACAGAGAGCCCTGAGACTATCCCGAGAATTACGGCTGAGTATGCTCGAAATAGTTCATCCAGGTCAGGTGGAGAAATATAATTGGGAAATAGAAGAGAAATCAGCATTGATTACCCAGAAACATTGAAGAGGGTACAACGAAAGGAAAAATTTTCGCCAACAGAGGCCATCTCTCACGGAGAATAAAGCAGCTGTCATACTTCAGAGAGCAACTCTTAAATTTCTAGCAGTGTCGTAAGAAAAAGAAACCATTTGCTTCTTGGCAAGGACTCCAAGATCTCACTGATGTACGCAGAGTTGAACTGAAGCAACAAGTGGATGACTATCTTCGAAGACATCCGAGCTCTCAGATGTCAGATGTGACTAGCAAAGAGCTCCATTCCCAAGCTCAAGAACAACTGCAACATTACCTTACAGGCAGAGCCCTAGAAGAGAGAGCCCAGCAGCACAGGGAGGCTCTGATGGCTCAGATCAGCACCAACATTGAACAGTTGATGAAGGCACCAAGTCTGAAGGAAGCAGAAGAGAAGGAACCTGAGCTCTTCCTAAGTAGATCCAGGCCTGTGGCAGCCAAGGCCAAGCAGGCCCATCTCACCACTCTGAAACATACACAAGCACCCTGGTGGAAGAAGCTTGGGGAAGAAGCTGGAGAGGAGATTGATGTCCCAAAGGATGAGCTTAGTGTAGAACTAGGAACTTTACTCATTGGTGGAACCAAACCCCCTTGGGGAGCTACCCAAAGAAATGACACTTATTTCAGGAGATTATATTGGTTCTGCCTCTGGCATGCCAGTAGACTAGAGCTATCCTAACTCATGGTTTTCCAGATTCTTCTCCAGGTAAGATTTTCAGGCAGTAAGAAAAGAGTTACCTTCTACCTCTATCTCAGTTCTCTTTTTCCTTTTCCACATCAACATACCAGGCCACACACAAATTAGTAGGGCTTTTATTGTGGAACTAACCTCAGCCTGGCATTCTGTTGGCTTAGATGAAATGTGGTAGTTCTTTTGTTTTTGCTGTTCTCCTACTAGAGATGTTTTCTAAATATTTTCAACAATTCTCAAAAAAAAAAATGGATTCTGTGCCTCCCTCTTTCTTAGCTCCTCCCCCTTAGCCTTCCCCCACTTGTGTTCTGTGTGTGTCTCTCTCTGTCTCAAAATAATTAAGCATTAAAATTTTTTAAAAAAGAAATAATGATTTGTAATTTAACAAAAAAACTGTACTTTAATTACATTAAGAGGATGGCAGAGGGAAAAGTGATTTATCTATAAAGGAAAGTGAAATTCTTGTCGTCCACAGCAGATCCTGTCTAAAACTCAGAAGTCAAAAAATGGCCTGGTAAGAATAATATTTTTAAAAACAGAAGTAAGTACAGAAGAAACACCTAAAAAATTGAAAGTGGTTACCTCTGACACCTGAGGCTAGAGCCTGAGGAGGCCTTTTGTGATAAAGCTTTTAGTACCCAGATGTTTTTAACTAAACGTAGGTGTTATTTTATAAAAATAAAATGCATTCAAATATATAACAGGCAAAAAAACCCCTCAATAGTCTTAAAAATCAGCTGATTAGAAAATACTTCAAGGGATTAAAGATTATGAACCAACCATTTTCTCAAGAAATTAAAAATACCTAATAAATGTGTGAAAATAAATTTACAATAAAGGCAAACTTAAAATAGGTTAAAAAATTTTTTTTCATTTCCTAACTTTGTTTTTTTTAGTTTATTGTCAAGTTGGTTTCCATATAACACCCAGTGCTCATCCCCACAAGTGCCCTCCTCCATGCCCATCCCCCCTTTTCCCTCTCCCCACCTGCCCTGTTTGTTCTCAGCATTCAAGAGTTTCTCATGGTTTACCTCCCTCCCTCTCCCCACTATTTTTCCCCTTCTTCTCCCCCATGGTCCTCTGTTAAGTTCCTCCTAATCCTCCTATACGTGCAAACATATGGTATTTGTCCTTCTCTGCCTGACTTATTTCATTCAGCATAACACCCTCAAATTCCATCCATGTTGCTACACATGACCAGATTTCATTCTTTCTTATTGCCATGCAGTATTCCATTGTATAGATAAACCACATCTTCTTGATCTTCTATTGATGGACACTTAGGCTCTTTCCATGTTTTGGCTATTGTTGACAGGGCTACTATGAATATTGGGGTACACGTGCCCTATGCATCAGCACTCCTGTATCCCTTGGGTAAATTCCTAGCAGTGCCATTGCTGGGTCATAGGGGAGTTCTATTATTAATTTTTTGAGGAAATTCCACACTGTTTTCCAGAGGGGCTGTACCAGTTTACATTCCCACCAACAGTGTAGGAGGGTGCCCATTTCTCCACATCGTCGGCAGCATCTAGAGTCCTCTGATTTGCTCATTTTAGCTACTCTGACTGGCGTGAGATGGTATCTCAGTGTGGCTTTGATTTGTATTTCCCTGATGAGGAGGGACGCTGAGCATCATCTGATGTGTCTGTTGGCGATCTGGATGTCCTCTTTGGAGAAGTGTCTGTTCATATCTTCTGCCCGTTTCTTCACTGGGTTGTTTGTTTTTCGGGTGTGGAGTTTGTTGAGTTCCTTATAGATTTTGGATACTAGTCCTTTATCTGATATGTCATTTGCAACTATCTTTTCTCATTCTGTCGGTTGCCTATTAGTTTTTATTGATTGTTTCTTTTGCCCTGCAGAAGCTTTTAATCTTGATGAGGTCCCAATAGTTCTTTTTTTGCTCTTGATTCCCTTGCCTTTGGGAATGTGTCAAGTAAGAAATTGCTGTTGTTGAGGTCAAGAAGGTTGTTTCCTGCTTTCTCCTCTAGGGTTTTGATGGTTTCCTGTCTCACGTTCAGACCCTTTATCCATTTTGAGTTTATTTTTGTGTATGGTGTGAGAAAATGATACTCTACATAGAAAACCCGACAGTCCACCAGAAGCCTACTAGAGCTGATCCATGAATTCAGCAAAATTGCAGGATACAAAATCAATGTACAGAAATCAGTTGCATTTGTATACACCAACAATGAAGCAACAGAAAGAGAAATCAGGAAACTGATCCCATTCACAATTGCACAAAAAAACCATAAAATACCTAGGAATAAACCTAACCAAGGATACAAGAGATCTGTATGATGACAACTATAGAAAACTTATGAAGGAAATTGAAGAAGACACAAAGAAATGGAGAAACATTCCATGCTCATGGATCAGAAGAGTAAATATCATTAAAATGTCATCACTACCCAAAGCAATCTACACATTCAATGCAATCCCAATCAAAATTGCACCAGCACTGGGGCGCCTGGGTGGCTTAGTCGGTTAAGCGTCCGACTTTCGCTTAGGTCATGATCTCACGGTTCGTGGGTTCGGGCCCCGCATCGGGCTCTGTGCTGCCAGCTCAGAGCCTGGAGCCTGTTTCAGTCTGTGACTCCCTCTCTCTCTGACCCTCCCCTGCTCACGCTGTCTCTCTCTCTCTCCTAGAAAAAAAAAAAAATTGCACCAGCATTCTTCTCAAAACTAGAACTATCCTAAAATTTGTATGGAACCACAAAAGACCCTGAATAGCCAAAGTAATATTGAAGAAGAAAACCAAAACGGGAGGCATCACCATCCCAGACTTTAGCCTCTACTTCAAAGCTGTCATCATCAAGATAGTATGGTATTGGCACAAAAACAGACACATAGACCAATGGAATAGAATAGAGAGCTCAGATATGGACCCAAAAGTGTACAGCCAACTAATCTTTGACAAAGCAGGAAAGAGCATCCAATGGGAAAAAGACAGCCTCTTTAACAGATGGTGCAGGGAGAACTGGACAGCAACATGCAGAATGAAAATAGTAGGTTAGAATTTTGCCAATCAAGTTATAAAAGAATGGTAAAAATAATAGTATTCAACATTGATTTTCATGTGGTGAGGCAGGCACTCACATTTTAGAAATGGGGAAGTGTACCATGGTACTAATTTTTTGTCAGACACTGTATAAATGTGTATGAAGTACCTGAAAACTATTTGTCCTCTTTGGTCCAGTTAAAATGACGTTTTGGGTATTACCTCTGGGAATACATCTTAAGGAAATAACCCAAATACAGAGAAATCTTTACATGTAAAAAAACTTCATCATTCAAAAAAGTAAAATTTAGGGGCACCTACCTGGGTGGCTCAGTCAGTTAAGTGGCTGACTCTAGATTTCAGCTCAGGTCATGATCTCACGGTTTGTGACATTCAGTGCTGACAGAGCAAACCCTGGTTGGGATTCTCTCTCAGTCTTTCTCTGCCCCTCCCTCCCCCTTACTCTCTCTCTCTCAAAATAAACTTAAAATAATAATAAGAATAATGTGATATTAAGAAATATCTCCATGAGCATTAGAAAGTGCTAATGTAATAATATTAAGATTTAGATCAAAAGTAAATGTTTGTGTATATAGCATGATTTCAATTATATAAAAGAAATATTGTGGGTGAAACCTTAAAGGAAATTCACTATTATTGATGTCAATGGCTAGTTTCAAAAAGGTGGCAGGATTATGAGTGGCTTGGATTTTACTCTTTACACATACTGAACTTTCTACATTATTTTATAGTAAGAATGCAGTGCATTTGCCACTTGGAAGAATCTTAAGTGTTATTTATTTATTTTCTTTTTACTTTTTTTTAAATTTTATTTCTAGGAGGGAGGGAGGGAGAGAGAAAGAGAGAGAGAGAGAGAGAGAGAGAGAGAGAGACAGCGTGAGCAGGGGAGGGTCAGAGAGAGAGGGAGTCACAGACTCCGAAATAGGCTCCAGGCTCTGAGCTGGCAGTCAGCACAGAGCCCGACGCGGGGCTCGAACCCACGAACCCCGAGATCATGACCTAAGCGAAAGTCGGACACTTAACCGACTAAGCCACCCAGGTGCCCCTCTTAAGTGTTATTTAAATAATGTGTGGTGCTTGCGAGTGATGCAAGGCAGGAATAGTCACGTTGCAAACGTTGACTTTGATTCCACTTCCGTTCTGATGCCCCTGTCTGCCTCTTCTTTTCCCAGCACTCTGTCTCCAGACTTTGGGACCTGACTGCAGAGAGTTTCTTTTATTTTTTCATTCATAGTTACTGAGTATCTACTTATTCCAATCCCTATATGGTGTCATGTACTAGGCAACTCTATCTAGAGCAGAAGAAAGTATGATTTCCTCAATCGAAGAGCTTTGAGCCTCGTGGGGAAACACAAGTACACAAATAATTACAATACAATGTAACAAATGCTATTAAGCTGAAACTTGTGAAATTGCTACTTTTGTAGGTAAAAAACAGACACCTAGGGGAAATTTCATGTTTTAAATGCCATGGGAACAGAGCAAAAGGTAGGATAAAAGACCTCAGGTATAATACACTTTCCAGTGGTAATATTTTTGTAAGAAGTTTCTTATGATGCAATTTTAAGCTCTGGAATGGTTGCTAGGTGACAGGAAATGATCAGATGCTAGTGAGAAGAGCCTGATTCTCCTGGGTTGTTATTTGTGAGGGACAAACCACTAAGTAAGGTAACTGGAAATTATAGTGAGCTTTCTTAGAGCCAGAGATGTGAGTTGAAGGAGAGTTACCTACAGAGAGGTAGTAATGGAAACTATGAGAGTGGGTGGGCTTGGGAAGGGAGATGCCAAGCAAGAGAAGCTAGTGTACTGGGTGATGAGTGGAGAGGGCTGGGCAGAGGAGTGGTGGAAAGAGAAACGGCACAGGACCTGCAGAATCAAAGGGAACAAGAGCCTCAAGGATGCAGCTTGCAATAGTGTTAGAGTGGGTAGAGATGCTGACAATTAACCAAGGCTATTGGATCTGTCCATAGGAGGGCACTGATTAACTTGAGAAGAGCTCAGGCTAAAGATGAACATAGGAGTAAAGCAGTGTGCATAATGGTTAACAGCCATGGGCCATGGAGTCAGACCGCAAGACTTATTTTCTGCTTCTACTGCTAACTAGCTAAGTGACATTAGGTAT